TTAGCTATTTCTTTTCTTAGAGTTTCATAGTTCTCTTTATAAAGATCTTTCATGTCCTTTGTTAGGTAAACTCCCAGATATTTCATCTTCTTTGGCACTACTGTGAATGGAATAGAGTTCTTGACTGTTTTTTCAGCTTGACTATTGTTGGTATATATAAAGGCTACCGACTATGGGTGTTGATTTTGTAACCTGAGACAATGCTGTATTCTTTGATCACTTCTAGGAGTTTTGTAGGAGAGTCCCTGGTGTTTTCCAGATATATGATCATGTCATCTGCAAAGAGTGAGAATTTGATCTCTTCAGAGCCTATGTGAATACCCTTGATTGCTTTTTCTTCCCTGATTGCTATGGCTAAGACGTCCATCACGATGTTGAAGAGCAATGGGGACAGTGGACAACCTTGCCTGGTTCCTGATCTGAGTGGAAATGGTTTCAATTTAATTCCATTCAGTATGATACTGGCTGTGGGTTTTCTGTAGATGGCCTCTATCAACTTGAGAAAAGTCCCTTCAATACCTATTTTCTTAAGTGTTCTAATCATGAATGGATGCTGGATATTGTCAAAAGCTTTTTCTGCATCAATTGAGAGGATCATATGGTCTTTGTCTTTTAATTTGTTTGTGTGGTGGATTACGTTTATAGATTTGCGTATGTTGAACCAGCCTTGAGATCCTTTAGCTTCCATGATTTTGTTTGGGTCTGTAAGTTCCTATTGTTTCTGAGTTAAACTTTTATTCCATGGTGGTCCTAGAAGATGCAAGGGATGATTTCTATTCTTTTAAATTTGCTGAGGTTACGCTTGTGACCTAGGATGTGATCTATTTTGGAGTATGTTCTGTGGGCTGATGAATAAAATGTGTACTCAGTTTTATTAGGGTGAACTGTTCTATAGATGTCTGTTAAGTCCAGATGCTGAATGGTTAGGTTTAAATCTAGAATTTCTTGCTAAGCTTCTTATTGGATGATCTGTCCAGCACTGCCAAAGGGGTATTAAAATCTCTGACTATGATGGAGCTGGGAGTAATCAGGTAGCTCATGTCTGTTAAAGTGTGTCTTAAAATTGAGGTGCGTTCTGATTGGGTGCATAAATATTGATAATTGAAATCTCGTTGTATTGAGTACTACCCTTAACAAATATAAAGTAACCATCATTGTCCTTGCTCACTTTTGTTGATTTAAAACCTATTGTATCTGCGAATAATATTGCAACACCTGCTTTTTTCTGCTTTCCATTAGCCTGGAATATAGATGACCATCACTTCACCCTGAGTCTATGCTTGTCTTTTAAAATAAGGCGAGTTTCTTGAACACAACAGATATCTGGCTTGAGTTTTTGTATCCAGTCAGCCAGCCTGTGCCTCTTTAGAGGGCAGTTTAAGCCATTTACATTGATTGAGACCATTGCTAATCCTGGCATAATTTTGGGTATCAAGTGTTTTGAAGGTTCATTGGACATCTTTGATTTTTTTGTCACTGTGGAGATTGGAATTTGGTCAAAATTTTGTGGGTGGGTTTATGTAGTGGAGGATTGCATTGGTCCTTATGGAGGATAGGTTTGAGGATATCCTAGAGGGCTGGTTTAGTAATGGCAAATTTCTTCAACATGTGAATATCATTAAAGTATTTAATTTCTCCATCATAAATGAAGCTCGGTTTAGCTGGATAGAGGATTCTGGGTTGAAAGTTGTTTTGTTTTAGGAGGTTGAAGGT